GGAGTTGAAGTCCACCCATCTTGTCAGTTCACTAGCATGCTTGCTGGAGAATTCTGGGAGTTGAAGTCCACCCATCTTGTCAGTTCACTAGCATGCTTGCTGGAGAATTCTGGGAGTTGAAGTCCACCCATCTTGTCAGTTCACTAGCATGCTTGCTGGAGAATTCTGGGAGTTGTAGTCCACCCATCTTATAAGTTCACTAGCATGATGGCTAGGGGATTCTGGGAGTTGAAGTCCACCCACCTTATAAGTTTTTAAGCTTGAGAAACATTGATCGTGGGAATCTCCAAATGCTTCCATAAACCAGGTCTCCAGCCTTAGATCCTGCCTGGCCCATCCTCCTCTCTGCGTATAAAACGGCTTCTCCTGGGGGGGGGGCAGCCACTGTCAGCAGCAGGTCCCTTTCTTCTATTCTTTGTCTGCGAAACCCCAGCGGGGACCTTCCACCAGCTGCTCACACCACCCAGAGACCCAGGCAGTCCCTCCCTGAAGCTGCAACAGGTAGGAACCTTCTCTTTCTTCTTCTCTGGAACCTGGAGCCACTCGATTTGTGGGGGCGGGGGTGGAGGGAGGAATGGAGAAAGAACAGTCTCCAACTTGGGCAGCGTGGGTTCGAAGGGGAGCCTGGCATTTGGTACCCCTAATTCTGGAGAAACCGAAGGGTGAACCAAACACACACGGACCCTAGCAAAGCTGCCTCCTTCTAAACCGGGATTTGGGGCGGGAGGGAGGGGATTTGGGGACCTCCCCCTCGAGCAAAGCCAAGATTTTAATTGCTTCTTAGGACCTGTGTTTTGATGGATTAGGCGTTGAGGATCAAAAATTTCTAGAGGGGTCTGCTAGCATCTTTTTCTGGCTAACAGATTTGATCCAGAGGCATCAAAAGCGAAGCTTTTTCTTAAGCGTGCCTTCATTTCAGTTTCGACATCTCACCTTAAAATACAAACAAAGAGAATGATGAAATAAGAAACCAACCAAAAAAAGACGTCCAAGATAAGTGACCTCGTTTCCTTTTGAGGCAGAGTTATTTAGCCATCCCACCAGCTCTTTCTAAGTTTGAAGAAGTAACACCGATAAATAGCACCCACCTGCTAAAAGCCAGTTTTCGTGAAACATTCTTGTCTTAATTTCATCTGAAAGAGAGTAAGAGATCAAAAGTGTGTAGCCTTATATTAAATAAGGTGCAATATTTCTTTAGTCAAATCCAATCAAATTTTCAGAACCCTGGATCCAAAGTTGCAGAGCGGATGGCTTTGAATAAAATGTTATTATTCATAAAAAATGCTACCTGAATTGTCTTGAATCAAACAGTGCATTTGTGATCTATTCCGATGTATATAGTGGCATTTTTAAACTATTTGACTTACTATTTAGATAGGTTTTAGATAGGTTTTAGACTAGGTTTTTATTATTATTATTATTATTATTATTATTATTATTATTATTATTATTATTATTATTATTATTATTATTATTAATTTTTAAATACATGTAGTGTGATTGTGATGTGGTGTTTGGGGCACTGTGCTGGAGTAGCTTTCAAATTTCATTGTATTCGTGGAATGCAATGACAATAAAGGTAAAATTCAAAAATTCAAATTCAAATTTCGGGCTGGTACAGACCAACCTGGTTTTCTTGCCTCATTGCAAACTTTTTATTGTTTCACTTGAGTTGCATCCTCACAAGTTAAAAGTTTTGAAGATCAGAAATTCCCTTTTCCCTCTGCCTTACAGTATAGGAGAAAGTTACCTATAGCTAACAGTGAGAGCCAAGATGGAATATTCGGAATATGAGCAGTTTAGGAGGCACTAAAAATTCATGTGCTGCGTGCAGTGTTATATTGGCAGTCCTTCAGTATCCCACAGGAAATGTGGACTTAATAACTGTAAAGCACCAGATGCTTTTCCACTGTAATTAAAAATTAATTTAATTTAAAACTTCTAAAAGCTTTTGTTTATTTTTGTTTATCAGTGTCCAGAGTTGCTGGGCGGTTTCTGAATATGATATAAATAAAATTATAATCTTTTTGGGAAATAAAATTTGAATGTTTAAACTAGGTCCTTGTTGAAAAATAGGTTTGGGTTTCCCTTATATTTTTATTTCTTTACGTACCCAAGAGGGGAAAAAAAGTAGGATAAATACACCCATTTGGATCACTGCCTCTTGTTTATCCCTTTGCATCATAATTTTATTTATTATGAAATGGATATGCCGCCCATCTCACTTAAAGATGACTCTAGGCAGCTTAGAACAAAGAAAGGCAACAGAATAAAATCTTCAAACATTCCAGTAATGAATATTAGCATTATTTAGCCATTTTATTTTAAAACAGTTCACTTTTAACTACTGTATTTTAGCCATCTTAGATCCCAATCAAATACTTCTCACTTGGGCCAACTGCCCTAAGTTGTAGGGTGTGTGACCCCTGATGCCACTTTCTCTGCTCTTGAGATCCTTTCTTTGTGCCATTCAAACACGGAGGGGATCTCCAGGGATCACTTGCTCCCTTCCTGATATTTATCTGTGCAAAGCAGCAATGAGGGAGCCCTCTCTTCTCCCTTGGCATCAGGTGCCAAGCTGAGCTGGATTGGGCCCCAGCTGGCAGGGCAGGGCAGCAGAAAGATCTGGCTTTCCTGCCAGGAAAGCAGAAAACGCCGTGAAAAGCCCTCTGCGTACGCTCAGAGTCTTCCTTTCTTGGCAACTAGCATTGGACGCCTGGCATTGCAAGCTGCTTTAGCCTACCTTTGATGCAGCCTCGTAAACCGCCATTTGTTCTTCCCAGAATCCCCCCAGCAACTAAGTAAAACAATGGAGCAAATTGCCAGAAGGCTTCCAGATTCCAAAATTGGGGTCCCTCCCTCCAAAAAATTGGCAAGGGGGGAAAAAGAGAGTGGCTTGACCTACTTTGCAGGTTTCAAAAGAGCTCTGCGTATTCTCAGAGGCACTGTTGCCCTCTGGGGCCAAAATGAACTCTTAAGAGAACAAAAGAACAGAATAACAAGAGTTGGAAGGGACCGTTGGAGGTCATCTAGTCCAACTCCCGGCCCAAGCAGGAGATCCTAGTATATACCATTCTGGACAAATTGTTGCCTAGTCTCTTTAAAAAAAAAAACTTCCAGTGTTGGAGCAGCACAACTTCGGGAGGGAAATCATCCCATTGAATTAATGAGTTAACATTGAATTAATTCACGACGAATTCTTCTAACTTATAAGGAAGTTGCTACTTAGTTCCAGGTTGCTTCTTTCCTCGATTAGTTTTCATCCGTTGTTTCTTGTCCTGCCTCCAGGTGATTTGGAGAATAAGGATTGGAAGTATCCAATATTGGAAGATGGCTATCATGTCACCCCCCTAATCCTTCTTCTCATTAAACCAGGCATAGCCAATTCCAGCAACCATTCTTATAGATGTTTTTTTAGCCTCCAGTCCCCTAATATTTGGAATAGACTCTCCTGCTGGAGCAGGGGGTTGGACTAGATGGCCTCCCAGATCCCTTCCAATTCTATGATCTAATTCGTCTTTATTGCTCTTCTCGGCACCCTTTCCAGAGTCTCAAATGTGGTGGGCCAAAACTGCAAATATTCTCAGCGTGGTCTAAATTCCAAGGCAGTAGAAAAGCCGTATTAACACCTCGCATCTTATGAGAATGGGAGCCTTTAGAAGGGAGGGGCTGCTTCCAGGGACCCCCCCCTCCCTTCCTGCTACCCTGCCACATTTCTCCCATTCCCCCCCACCCCCCAAAAAAATATCTCTAGCTGTATCCTAAGCTTTCTTCCCTGCCGCCGCTTCCATCTTCCACGCAGGAGGGCTGTGCAATTAGCGGATGGCTTTGAACCTGGAGAAGCAGAAGGGGGGGGGGTGTAAGCAGGGAGCTAATTAATGGCATTTTGCCCCCTGCAAATGGTTGCTCCACCCGGTTGGGGGTCCAGTGGTGCCCTTTTCCTTTGGAAAGCAGGCCAGGCTCGGAGCCTCCCACTGTCACCCTTCATCTCTTCGGCAGCCTGCACACACACCCCCACCCACCCCCAAAAATCTCATTTTCTCTTTCATTCTGGCAAGAATTAAAGACCCAGGAAACCAACATTGGTTAATTGCTCTGCAGAAAGAGAGCGGAGAAGAGCAACAAAGAGGATTAGGGGGCTGGGGGATAGAGCATAGGAAGAATGGTTGAGGGACTTGGGTACGTCACGCAAAGAAGGATTAGGGGGGGGCGGCATGATGGTAGTGTTCCAGGATTTGAGGGGCTGCCCCAAAGAAGAGGGAGTCAAGCTATTCTCCAAAGCACCTGAAGACAGAATAAAAAGCAATGGATGGAAACGAATGCAGAAGCAACCTGGAAGACATTTCCCTAAAACCCAAGAACAATTAACCAGTGGAACAGCTTGCCACCAGACATTGTGGGTGCTACAATGGTGTTTAAGAAGAGGCTGGACAACCCTTTGTCTGAAACGAGATAGGTTCTCCTGCCCGAGCAGGGGGTTGGGCTAGAAGACCTCCAAGGTCCCATTCTGTTATTCTATTCTGTTATTTTTTCCCTTTCATTCTGGCAAGAAAGATGGCTGGACGCAGGAAACCAACATTGGTTAATTGCCCTCTAGAAAAAGAGTGCAGGGAAGAGCAAAAAGAGGGTTAGTGGATTAGAGACTAAAATATTTGACCAATGGTTGCAGGAACTGGGTGTGTTACTTGTGTTCCTCTCATTTCCAGATTGGGGGAGGCTGGTCATTAAGCAGATACTGTGGGGACCATGCAACTTTTCTGGCCCAGGCTTGTGTATGGTGTGTATGGTGTGTGTGTGTGTGTGTGTGTGTGTGTGTTTGTGATTAAGGACATTCTGAGAGTCAAGGGCTGCATTGATGGAGAATGCAAAATTCGTGTTTTGCATGCATATCTTCTCATCGGGGAAGGGAACACTGTGCTTCCCCGTTTGCTGCCAACGCACGGTCTCTGTGTGCGCCACCCTGCTGGGCGAAGGTGTGCCCCCTCCCCCCCTGTGTGTAGAACGGCATGTCCAACAACATGGCCAAGATTGCGGAGGCGCGCAAGACGGTGGAGCAGCTGAAGCTGGAGGTCAACATCGATCGCATGAAGGTAAAAGGGTTTCCCTTGGAGCCGGGAAGTGGGGCCAGAGCATCAAATCCTCACTGAACGGATGCCCAGGGCTGCTCCTGGAGTGATGTGGTGCAGTAGTCTAGCTAAAGGCTTCGGGAGCCAGGAAGTGGGCCCTGAACATCAAGTGCCCACTGAACAGATGCCCAGTGCCGCTCCTGAAGTAATACAATGTAGTAGTCTAACTAAAGGCTTTGGGAGCCAAACGAGTGAGCCACATAACATCGAATGCTCACTGAACAGATGCCCAGGGCCGCTCCTGGAGTAATGCAATGTAGTAGTCTAGCTAAAGGCTTTGGGAGCCAAACGAGTGAGTCACAAACATCGAATGCTCACTGAACAGATGCCCAGGGCCGCTCCTGAAGTAATGCAATGTAGTAGTCTAACTAAAGGCTTTGGGAGCCAAATGAGTGAGCCACATAACATCAAGTGCCCACTGAACAGATGCCCAGGGCCGCTCCTGAAGTAATGCAATGTAGTAGTCTAGCTAAAGGCTTTGGGAGCCAAACGAGTGAGCCACATAACATCGAATGCTCACTGAACAGATGCCCAGGGCTGCTCCTGAAGTAATGCAATGTAGTAGTCTAGCTAAAGGCTTTGGGAGCCAAATGAGTGAGTCACAAACATCGAATACTCACTGAACGGATGCCCAGGGCTGCTCCTGAAGTAATGCAATGTAGTAGTCTAACTAAAGGCTTTGGGAGCCAAACGAGTGAGCCACATAACATCGAATGCTCACTGAACGGATGCCCAGGGCTGCTCCTGAAGTAATGCAATGTAGTAGTCTAACTAAAGGCTTTGGGAGCCAGTAACCCCACCCCGCCCAACATCAGATCCACACTGAAGAGATGCCCAGGGCTGCTCCTGAAATAATGCGGTGCCGTAATCTAGCTACAGCCTGTCTTTCGCGCTTCCTCCTGTGTGCCAGGTGTCCAAGGCGGCGGCCGATCTCTTGGCGTACTGCGAAGCCCACGCCAAGGAGGACCCCCTGGTCACGCCCGTCTCCTCGGCCGAGAACCCCTTCCGAGAGAAACGCCTCTTCTGCATCGTGCTGTGAGCCAGGACAGCCCCCCCCCCTCCTCAATTGCTGTGGCCTCTTCCTTGGGTAAGAAGAACCCCCCCTCCCCAAAACACTTCGGCACGGGGGGGGGGAGTGGAATTGAATAGGGGAGGGATGGCATTCCCCTTCAGGTAGTCCTCCACTTACGATGACTCATTTAGTGACTGTTTGAGATGACAACGGCGTCGAAAAAGGGGACTGGTGACCCATCCTCACAAGTATGACCATTGTAGCATGATGGATGACTCTTGGCTATGGACGTGTCCCATTGGAGAATATGAATTAGGATACACCCAGGGGGTGGAGGGAAAACCAGGGTCATGAGTAACAATGAATGATGTGTCTCAGAGTTGGCCACACCCAGGCAGCGCTGGCATGTTAACTCCCGATAAATCCTTTTGAAGTTTTGGAAGTTTGGCTTGAGACTCAGGATTTAAACTGGGTTAAGTGCCAGAATCCTGACCCCAAGGACTACCCTGTACTTGTATTTAAACATTGGAAGCCTGAGCTTCTAAGGTGTTTTATTCCTTTCTAATCTGCCTGCCTCTAAAGTTGGCTTCTTTTTTATTTCCCTCCAATATCTATCTATCTATCCAGATTGTTTCTTCCAAGTTGAATGAGAAGCGCCGTAAAACAAGCGGAACAGCCTGGTTTTAACTGAAAAAAAAAAAAAAAGCAAGCTTGTAGTCCTCATCGTCACCGAGATCCAGTTGCCTGGAAGATTAAAACCGCACAAATTTTCTTGTCCTGGGTTTATCCTAATAAATGTTTAGTCTTTTCTTTCCACCTCTTTGCTCTTGTTTTTCATCCAAACAAGATTCATTAGTAATCCATTAAGCATCTGCAAAATAAACATAACCGGCTTCCAAATTATTGATTCAGCTTCCACTTTGTTTACTGCTGTGGTGGAATGACTAAATAACCTTCTATTATCGTAAAATCATTACCGCAACTCGAGAGATCTGGAAATGAAAATTGCCGGAAATGTATTATGGATTTTTTTTCTTTTTCAAAGCCAAATCCAATTTGCAAACAGGCAGACAGGAAGAAGATGGCAAGACAGCTGTCGGCTGGGGCAAGGTTTGGCACGCCAGGCACCCCTGTGCAGAATCCCACCCTCCAAACAATCTTTCCACATCTTTACAAAATACAGATCTAAATAAAAATTCTAACTGCAGGTTCTCCTCGACTTAGGAGCGTTCGTTCGGCAGCTGCTCCAGGTTACGACCACTTGAAGACGTGGAAAATAATAAAATATAAAGGAAATAAAATAAAGCGATTATGAAACCGAACAGAACATTGGCAATAAACAATAATAAAAAAGCAAAACGAATAAAATGAAAGGAATGAAATAATAAAATAATCAGGTCACTGAACTGAAGTAAAATAAAAAAATGCAATACATGCAAACTAAAAGATGCAATCTACGATAAGAAAATAAATGAAAAATAAAAATAATAAAATAAATGAAAAATAAAAATAATAAAATAAATAAAAATAAAATAATAAAATAAATAAAAATAATAAATGCAAAATAAAAATAATAAAATAATAAAATAAAATAAAATAAAAATAATAATAACATTTTCCTGGCCAGGCTGACTCTTAACAGCAAATGGAAGGATTGTGACTCACAAGGCTTGGAGAGCAGTGAGATTTCCCACAGGTGAGATTGCTCAATTATGCTCGGCCAGTCCCAACCCTGGACTGGGATGCCCCCTGCCCTCCCTCCCCTTCCCAGCCCTGAGGATTGGAGCATTGTGCATCACACCAGCCCCCTTCTCTCCCCCCCGCACAATCTCAGGCCCAGCGGTGAGGCTCAGACACCGTTGTCCAGCGCATGGAGACACGACGTGTCATGCAAATACTGGAATGGTGTTTGGTCCATTCAGACTTGTACAATCGTGGGTTGTGAAACTCCTAATGGGAAGGCTGATCATCCACAGCTCGGTACCGGATACCCTCTCCCCAAATCTTCCTTCCCGGGGGAGCACCACGGATGCTGTTTCTGGCCACATCTAGTTGTTGATGCGTGAAGATGCTCAGATGTAGCCACGGGGTGGTATCAGACGGTTCGGACCAGGTCTGGAGACCCAGTAGCGGAAATTTTGAGTCGTTCAGAGAACCGGCAAATCCCACCTCTGACTGGCCCCACCCCCCCATCTAGTCTCCGCCTCCCATTGAGTCCCAGTTGATTGGCTGGGTCTCCTTTGGTTGCCTTGCACAGGAGAACGGAGCTGGAAAGTAGGTTAGTGGGGTGGGGAGGGAAGGGGGATTTTGCAGTAAGCTGTTGTGGTCGTCCGTCAGCCTGTGGAGCTGGCAGCAGAGTCGGACATTGGGGAGGAACATGGGCCAGTCCGGGAGTCTGGGGAGGACTCAGACGAGGGTCCTGCGTCCGATGCAGAGATGGGGCCAGAGCCACCTGGGAGTTATGTGCTGACTCCGGAGCCTCCAGAATCTGTCAGCAGCGAGGCAGAGGAACAAGGGGAGCCTGTTCCCAGTGCACGCATGCGCAGAGCTGCCAGAAGGCAAGAGCAGCTGGGACAAAAGGGGCAACTCGGGAGGAAGGCTTGGAGGTGATTGGCCCCTCCCATAAGACATAAAGGAGGAGCAAATGGAGAGGAGTCTTTGCAGGAAGCAACTTTCTTTGTACTGGTTGGTATGAAACCTTGAAGCTCTGTGTGGACTTTGTACTTCGCTTGGCTCTTTACAGTTAATTTGGCACTTTAGTTGTTGGCAGCCATTCAAAGGAGAGAAAGGTGGGTGCTTATCTCGAGGAACTGCTTGGGACTCATTACGGGCTGGGAATGCACATAATTCCCAGCCATTGACATAAAAAGAGGGTCGTTTGAACTAAGCGTGTGCTTAATTACCGTCTTAGGAAGCCTTGGTCAGAACACAAAGTCATCCAGCTGATCTCATCCCTAAGGTGGACCTAGAACTCCCAACTTCTTGGTTATTGACCCAAAGTAATCCAGCCTGCTTTCATGCCTAAAGTGGGACTAGAACTCCCAGCCTCCTGGTGATTGGCCCAAAGTCACCCAGCCAGCTTACATGCCTAAGGCGGGACTAGAACTCTCAGACTGCTGGTGATTGGCCCAAAGTCACCCAGCCAGCTTTCATGCCTAAGGTGGGACTAGAACTCCTTGTCTCCTGGTGATTGGCCCAAAGTCACCCAGTCAGCTTTCATGCCTAAGGCGGGACTAGAACTCTCAGACTGCTGGTGATTGGCCCAAAGTCACCCAGCCAGCTTTCATGCCTGAGGCGGGACTAGAACTCACCATCTCCCAGTGACCAGCCCAAACCCAGCTTGTTTTCATGCCTGGGACTTGCCATCTCCTGGTTTGTACACGAAGACCTTAACCACTGCCCCAAGCTGTCTCTGTGTGGGGGTTCTGGGTGTGAAATCCCACAAGGATGACAGGATACGGACCCCTTTACCTCTGCTCTGCCACGTCCACCGGGCTGGTGGGTTTCTAAAGACGTCAATGGAAACTCTCATCCCATGCCGGATGGACATTGGACGCACGCAAAGAAGCCTCCTTAAGGGTCGGCTGGCTGAGCCAAGATGCCTTCGGCAGAAGAGGGTCGATTAATCATCAAGCCGTCGCAAGCGGTGCCACGGGAGAAGAGACGGATGGCATGAGGATCCGTGTCTTAGAGCCACGCAGGGCACACTTGCCCACCTCCGGATCACAAAACCGCTTCGTTTTCTGTTCTTTCGTTCTCGGTCGGTTCTTTTTCTTTTCATTCTTTCCCGTTTTTTTTCATTGTGTGTTTTTTTATTCTTCAGACGGGCTTTTTCGTTGGAACGTGAAGCTTGGGAAAGTGAAACCAGCTGCTTATGAAGACTAAAGTGGCCTTAAAACATTTCCAGCAGGGCTCCAGGTCTAAAGAACCAGCCAATTCTGGGCAGGAAGGACAGAAGGCTAGAAGGGAAGAGAAGGACCAGGGGAGACAGGAGAGCAGCCTTCCAATATTTGAGGGCAGGGGGGTTGGACTAGATGATCTACAATTCTGTTCATCTGACTTTAATCTGATTTTAATGAACAGATGGACCAGGGGAGACAGGAGAGCATCTTCCAATATTTGAGGGGCTGCCCCAGAGAGGAGGAGGGGGTCAAGCTATTCTCCAAGGCACCTGAATAATGCCAGACAAGGAAGAATAGATGGAAACTGATCAAGGAGAGATTCAACCTGGAAATAAGGAGGAATTTTCGGACGGTGAGAACCATCAACCCATGGAACAGAAGTTGCCCTTGGAAGTTGTGGGAGCTTCATCCCTGGAGGCTTTCAAGGACAGACTGGACTGCCCTTGGTCAGAAATGGTGTAGGGTCTCCCGCTTGGGCAGGGGGGGGGTTGGACTAGATGACCTATAAGGTCCCTTCCAACTCTGATGATCTGTTATCTAAGAATTGGCACCCAGCACTCTTGCAATGCCAGACAGAGAGGCGGGACGGGCACCGGGGACGGAGGGACGGTCGAGCCAGACCAGACACTGCGGAGTCCAACTTCTTCCTGCTTCCCTAGAAGCTGGAAAGGGGGGGGTGTCCCAGGAAGCCCCCCCCCCCCGCAAAGAACCACAAAATAGCAGAGCTCTCCAAATTGTGATGACTGGATGACTTTAAGACTGGTGGACTTCAACTCCCAGAGTTCCTCAGGGCTGAGGAACTCTGGGAGTTGAAGTCCACCAGTCTTAAAGTTGCCA